AATAAGTAATAAACTACTTCCATAAAACCGGTAATTTGAAAGTCCACGAATTATCTTTGCAAGACGTCGAAGTTTACGCAGAATAACTGGAATATGATGTACTAAAACATGTTTTCCATTATGAATAAAGTCTTCTAATGACTTAAAAAAAGTTTCATTATTCAGAGAACGACCATAATATTTATCTTGAAGACGTAACTGTTTTGTGGTTGACTTGTAAACCTATAAACAAAGAAATATATATATATATATAAGATTAAAAAAATTTAAAATTGAAATCCAATTAGATAAATAAATATATATATATATATTAAACTTGCCTGCATGCCACAAATTCTAACACCCAAAGTTTTACTCGTAGTTGCAGCACATTTTTTTATTTGACTTTCACGTTTTTTTGGTTTCGCATCAATACCATATTGCCTTGTACCCATTTTAAGATCCAAAACACAAGGATATTTTAATCCACCAGTAAGATCACCAAGAATAATGAATTGTCTTATATTATTAGGTTTTTCAGTTGATTGTTGTAATGAGTAACAACGTAAAGACCAAGGATTATTAACAGATGTAGTTGTATCACATTGTAATCTTAAAGTAGGTTTTGATTTTGATGATGATTTAGAATAATCAATATCTTTCTTGAAATTTGAACTCATATCAGAAGTTATTTTATCATGAGAAAACTTGATATTTGAATTTGATTCAGTTAAATTTGAAAAAGAAGTTTGTAATTCTTTTCTCATAGGAGTCACACTAGAAAAATAATCATTACCAGAATGACATATTTCATGAAAATCAGTATCTTTAGAAGATGATAGATCAAAAGAACTAATTTCTTTAGAAGAAGAAGATAATTTTCTGGACTTCTTTTCACAAGGAGAATCAAGAGGTAAAATATTTTCAGGAGGTTTACATTCAGATCTAAGTGTAGCGACATTAGTCATCGAATGCCTTCTTCTAACAGGTTCTTTTTGTAAAGCTTTAATTCGAGCACGTACGACATTAGGGGAGAATACCTCTTGAAGAACTTCATTTTTTAAATCTTGATTCACATTTGAAGAACGTAAATTTGGAGCACTAGATATTGAAGGTATTTTATTGTTCACTTTATCAAAAAATGGACAGCCATCACCATAACGATTATCAAAAGAATTAACCCTATTAAGCATCCATTCAGGTAAAAGATGCTTATTTTGTTCAAAAACTACTTCCGGCGTTATTTCACCATCATGAGTACGATTAATAACGTTAACAACACCCAAGTATTGAGGAATGAAAGGTAAAAGTTCAGGATGAGATTTTTCTAAAAGTTCATAAAAATAACGTTCCCTAGGTATGGAAGGTTTACAAACAGCCTTTCTCGAGAACCTAAAAAAGGAGG